GAAGAAGAAGAAGAAGAAGAAGAAAAAGAAGAAGAAGAAGAAGAAAAATCATCATCACCATCACCATCATCATCATCATCATCATCATTTTGTATTTTCTGCATTTTTGTTTGAAAATACGGATAATGATATATCAAAATTGCATCTCATTTTCAGACCTTCTGGCTATTCTTATTCCAACAAACTCAGGAGTGGGGAAACTTTTTCTTGTACGAGCAGGTGAGTGAATCATGCAGGGCGTTATGGCCGCGCGCAGAGATGGCGTAATGATAATAGATAGCATTTGTATAGCGCAAATCCTCGCTCAACAGCAAGCTCTGTGCGCTTCACAATCTATATACCATTACCCCAGCAGACCTGAGAGCATTCTGAAACAAATTCAACTTCCTGGGAAGCATACAGTGCAAGCATCCTTTTAATGGCGCTGAAACACTAACATACTGACAAGATCTTTTGCAGTCTATGGCCGGGTGCCCATTCCCACCAGGGTGAAGACAGGAAAATTCGTATAAAGTGTCTTTCCCAAGGACACAACATGGGCCCGCGGCTCGAACCCCCGACCCCGCAACCTCACGATTACGAGTCCGGTAGGCCACCGACGTGTAATGTACTTTGTTCAGAAATTTGAGATCTTGTGAATTTTTTTAAAAATGTCGACAGGAAAACAAAAATTCCACTTTTTCAATTGGGCACTGTTGGGAAACTTGGTTTACAATGACGAAACATTTATCCTACCTAGTCTATATGAAATAAGGTACACGAATACATTATTCTGAAACATACAGAAATATACAGATATACAGAAACATACATATTATTGTATAACATGTTTGTTTGTTTGTTTGTTTGCTCGGGTTATCCGTATGGTGTCTTGCTCAAGGAGACACCTCAGTGTCCGACCGACCAAACACGGTGTCTCCAATGTATGCTTTTATGCGTACCTATACAATACAAGCACAAGGGGACTATCCCGAAAAATGCTGTTTTGAGAAAATCGAAGGTAAAGTTTTGCCCCTTGATCCTTATGATTGAAAGTCATGGAGAGTTTTCTCTGTAGCCAAACAAATTAATATACACACCACTGAAACCAAACTTCTCCTATAGGAAGGGCAATGTCCACTTTTGGTGTAGGTCAAGATTTCTGGACACCCCAGAAATCTGGGTTAGCCCGCTTGCCCTTAAAAGCGACCAATTAAACCGTCTAACATAAACTCTGAAGGTTCCTGCTCTAGCGAAAGCTAGATTCTGTTATAATGAGATTACAGCTAAGAGGTTTTTAACAGAAGGTCCTTATTCTATAATCATTGGGTTACAGTTACAGTCACTTTTTAATTTTAAAGTCCCGGCGCGTGGCAAACAGACATCGACCACATTTTCTAAAAGGATATCACACGTTCATTTCAAGCCGACAGGAGTCTGTCCCTTTTATTGTGATAAGAAAATAATTCTTGGTGCAACCTTGGTAAAACACGAATTTTTGTTGTTGCGATTTTCATGATCCTATACAAAAAAAGAGTCATACGCAAGCCCTCTAGATAACATTGATGCGCTGGTTCCGAATTTGATACTATAATTTTTTACTATAGGAGATAGTTTTCAATACGTTAGTAAACGTGAATCTTATCGTCGGGTCACAAGCAGCAACAAAAATCAACTGTAATGTTCGTTTGTTCGTTTGTCTATCAAACAAAGTTGTTGTACTCTTGCTTCCCCTTCCTTTGTCTCTCTCTCTCTCTCTTGCCAGACGATGACGTAAGCAGGCTGGGGAGTTCTTGGTCGTTTCCTTTCTTTCTTCTCCTTCTCGAAGAGCAGACAGCTAAAAAATGTATCGTAATAATAATAATGATAATGATAATGATAATAA